TTTATAATTTTTAATATATTTATTTTTTATAGTTTATATTATATTAACCAGTTTCGCAATGAAAGTTTCTTAAGTGCAAAACATAACTTAAGGAAGCACACATGAGTATAGCTAAATTTTAAGTATTAAGCTCTCGTATGATGCTTATAAAAGTTTCAGTAGTAAGCTAACATTCACATTCCCAAATCCGAGTCCTTGATTACACCAAATTGATTTCCATTTGCAAAGCATCCCGGTCTACAACATAAAAATTACATCTTGAACTCAAATTCCTAGTTTCCTTCGAACTTTGGGTCAGCCATGACAAAATGGTATGCTACCACCAGTACAAAGATGAAGACGCCAAGAAAATTGGCAAAGAAACCCAGATCTTGATCATCAATCATCTGCAACATCACAGTCAACAAATTCAACACATTTCAGTACCCTGGTTTGGGATATATCACAAAACGGAGTCACAACATAAATCGAATCCAAAATGTTAAACCTATTATCCCACCAAATTTTGATTCAATAGTGACATTGACATAACAGTATACAATTAAAAACAAACATGAAGCGATGCAACAAAAATGGGTATTCAATTTAATGTCCATTTCACTTCGAGAAGATTATATATGAATTATGGTCCCAACCCTCATTCTAGACCGACTAATTAAAATCATACCGATTTTATATATAAACAGAAACAATAAGGGCCGATCTGAAAAAAGACACGGAAGCATGTCAAGGAAAAGGCGTAATCGGCATTGGCACGGTTAATTTGTGCATTGTGATGGTGAACAAAAAGAAAGCGGAAATTGGAGAAAGATTTCGTTCATGAGAATAAGGAAGGCATTGAGATTACCCTTCGACGCGGTGGCAGTGCCCTTCACTTTTCCTTCGGACGGCTGTTGAAGTCGTGCTTCCTAGGTCTCGCTGCAGAGTTTCCCCCACACTTCCTTAACACAAATAACAACAACCAATGTCAATACTCTTCAATCGGTGACCATTTTACCCATCACAATTTTTCAAATTTACTCCTATAATAATAATAATAATTATACTTAGACAAAATATTATTAGAGAGGTTGAGATATTATTATTATTAAAGAGGTTGAAATATTTCATACCTATAATAGTTATACATAAACAAAATATTATAAGGTTGTGTGTAATTATTTAGACAGTATATAAGATTTTTTTTTTGTTTTTTTTACATTCGAAAGATATAATAGCATACTAAAAAGTGAAGACAAAAAATAGTTATATACCTATTTTCTTTATAATAGGTACTAGATTTAATACTTTTTATTCTAGATATAAATTTGTTATTATTAACAGATATTGATAAATTTTATTAAAACTTGAACTTAAATATTAAGATTTTAAAAGAAGGCCCTTCCATATCCCATTTGTTTTTCGCGGATGATTGCCTTCTTTTTATTAAGGCTCGTAATTCTCAAGTTAGATTGATGCAGATTATTATTGATGAATTTTGTACTAAATCTGGCTTGAAAATTAACGTTGAAAAATCAAGGGCTTTTGCTTCTAAGACAATTACTTCGGCCAAGAAAGCTAGACTTCAAGGAATATCTAACATCCAATTCACTACTTCTTTAAGAAAATATCTTGGTTTCCCCATCTTTTGTGGGAGGCCCAGGAAGGAAGTTTTCCAACCAGTTCTGGATAGGATTAGTGCCTAGTTAGCTACTTGGAAAGGCAAATTACTATCCAAGCTAGGTAGAGTCACTTTGGCAAATGCTGTCATTTCTTCTATACCCACTTTTTTCATGCAGTTGTATTGGTTCCCTAATTATATTTATTCTACACTTGATCAAATGAGCCGTGATTTCATCTGGAAGGGATCCTCTAGGAAGGGTATTAATTTGGTGGCCTGGACAAAAATTACTAGACGTCGAAGAGAAGGAGGATTGAATACCAGAATTTCTAGATTCAAAAATGTGTCCTTGCTAGGGAAGTTGGTTTGGGACCTGCTTCAAGGTCATGACAAGTTCTGGGTCTTAATTATGTCAAAGAAGTATTTGTTATCTGATTCTATTCTGAAGTGTCAGAGGAAGCAGGGGTCCTATGTTTGGCGCGCCATTATAAAAGCCTGTGACTTCCTTCTTCCGGGCTTTAAGTTGAAGCTAGGGAATGGGGATGTCAGTTTCTGGTTTGAGGACTGGACAGGGGAGGGCCCACTTTGTGAGAAAGTTTGGGCGATAGATGTACATGACTTGGAAATGAGAGTTCGGGATGTCTGGAATGAGGAGGGTTGGAATTTGAGTTCTCTTTGGACATCTCTTTCAGAGGACTTCAATCACGTGCTTCTTAAACAAACTTTGCTTTTGTCTGAAGGACTACATGATTGCATTGTTTGGCAACCTGATTTAACAGGTAATTACTCAGCAAAAAGTGGATATAATTGACTTACATTTGAACCCGAGCAAAAACCAAGTGAAGACAAGTGGTTATGGATTTGGAAGATTTACGCATATCAGAATATCAAGTTCTTTCTCTGGTTAGCTTGGCATGATTCTATTCCCACCTCCTCATTACTATTTAAGCGGCACATCATGGGAAATGATAAGTGTAGACAGTGTGGCAGCCAGGAAGAGATAGTAATGCATTATTTCAGGGACTGTCATGAGGTGCAAGAAGTGTGGCGAATTTTACAGTTTGTAAGTTGTGACTTTTTATCAGATAGATAATTTTAAGATGTGGGTCATTCATGGAATTAAGTTGGGAGGCGCATTATTTTTATCTACAATTTGGGAGATTTGGTTGGGTAGGAATCGATTGGTGTTTGAAGGTAGTAGAACAAAGGCATGGCAGGTAGCGCTGGCTGCCAAATCACTTTCAGAGGCTATGACTAATGTTTTTTTAAACCATGAGGTGAATAGCAATTTGCCAAAATGGGTGGGGTGGTCAGCTCCTTCCGAGAATTGCGTCATTCTAAATATGAATGGGAGTGTTATGGAAGACAAAGTTGGTTTTGGAGGTGTGTTGAGGAGTTCGGACGGTGTTTGGATTCATGGTTTTTGTGGAAATGTGGATGGCTCTGAGATTATTGGAGTGGAGTTGTTAGGCATTCTACAAGGCTTACGTATTGCTCAAAGATTGGGCTTATCAAGAGTTTATTGTCAAATCGATTCTTTGGTTGCAGTAAAGTGGATTCAAGGAGGGGTGTCTCATATGCATCATTATTCAAATTTAGTGCAAGAAATTCACAAACTGTTGGATAAGGACTGGATAGTTTCTATATCTCATGTCCTTAGAGAATGCAACAAGTGTGCAGACTATTTTGCAAAATTGGGCCTTAGGTGTCCTGACAAATTAACTAATTTTATGGAGCCTCCTCTAGATGTTATTCCATTGCTTCAAGCGGATGCTACTGGAGAGCGTTTTATAAAATTCTAGTTTATGCTTTTCTTGTTGCTTGTTGTTTTTCTTTCCTTTTTTTTTTAGCATCTTCAACTACCAAAAAAATTATTATATTTTACATATACATTAAATGTTAAGAATCTAGAAATAACATACTATTTTAATTTTTAGTGTTATAAAATTATAAAATTACATTTATTTAATGTTAATTTTGTATTAATAATAATAATAATTATTTTATTAATATTAATTTGATTACGATTCAATCATGATTAAATCATTAAACCTTGACTGTCTATACTAATTTAATAATTGGTCCAATTTTAGAAACATTGATAAATATTTAAGACTTAAACAATTTTATTAATCAAATAGAACTTAATCAAATTACTTATTTTTTATGAATTTTATTAATCAAATAGAACTTAACCTAAATTACTTATTATTATTATTATTATTATTATTTTTTATGAAAACAGGACTCTAAAACATAAAATGTAGTCTATAACTATCTAAATTGGATAAAAAGATATAGATATATTTGATAATTATCAAAACATACCAAATTTAGAATCTTGTCTTCAAACAAACAAAAAAAAATCAAACACAATGTATATTATGGAAAACTAAACAATTTTTTTATAAAAAAAACTTAAATTTAGCAAATCTCATTTGTTAAAGATTTTTTTCTCAACCATCCAAACAATCTTATTAGTTATGTCATCTCTGAAGCGTGAACGAATTCTCCTTCCTCGTATGAAAAATTCATCTGAGCAATTATGAAGCTTTGAAAGGAAATTAGCATTTGAATTTTTGCACCAACCATCTTGAACCACCGAAAAGATGTCATTTTCTACTAACCATTTATTTTCAAAGCGGAACTTATTTTTCTTTCCAAATGTGCCTTTATTAAAATAAATAATTTAAGAATACAACAATGTCCGTATTCTTCAATTAATTGGTTTTTTGTAATAATAAAATAAATTGTCCTTGATATTCTTGCTCTTCAAACTTGGTTTCAATTTATACCACAAAAAGCATTGTTTTGTTATAAATTGTTGTGATAACCTATACAAATGACTATATGAGTGTTAAGTATTTTCAAAACCTTATTTAGATCCATGTTAAATATTTGGTCTCTTATAAAGAAGTTTATTATGCCCATGTTATAAGACATATCTTATTATTTGGTACAAAAAATACAGACATCTTATTATTTAACTCCATTTTTTAAAATTTGTATTGAAACGTTATTTTCTATTTCTATAAAATCAATAATGTGTCGAGTATTAGCTCACATTCCGAATTTCCGATTATCATGCTAATATTATATATTTTGAGATATTTAAAAAAGGTTAATTAATTCATGAAATTATTTTAAATTTAAAATATTAAATAAATATTACGTATTATTAATATAATTTTATAAAAATCGGGATGTTACAACTTTCTCCTCTTTTTTTAAATTTTATCCCCAAAATTTACCTACTGAAAACAATATCGGATACTCTCGCATCTGGCTCTCAAATTCTCAAGTCGCACTCTCCTCAATTCCCTCTCAAAAACTATACTAATAAGAAAATCTATGTAACTTTACTACCTTATAGATGAACAATTCTATCAATCTCTTCAAGGAATATCTAATATCAATAAGGATAAGGTGAGCAACCTTGGTGAGAGTATTCACACAACACAAATAGAATCAATTTCTTAAGCATTTTAGGTAAACCTACAACCAAGTCCATCGACACACCATCTTACTTCCAAAATAGGACGTCTAAAGGATATAAAAGTCCTAAAGACTTATGATATTTTACCTTAGACTTCTAGCATACTAAACACGAGTGCACAAATTCATTTACTTCTCTCTTCACCTTAGGCCACCAGAACATCTTCCTAAGATCCTTATATGCATGGATTACTTGCTAGTTATTAACAAAAACAATTCCAATTGTTGATTTAGCTTGAGTTTAAGTTGATAATTTTTTTTTAATTCTATAAGCACACACCAATAAATATTTTCCTCCCAATATAATTTATTTCATTTTCAAGGTGAATCTTGAACAACTTGATTAAAGAACACAAACTGTTATCACTGATATCAATTAATATTAATTTAATTTTTTCGTATATTTATAGATATTTTAAAAGGATCAATTTACTCATCAGATTTAAAATTCAAAATAGCTATTTTATTAATTACAAGTTTTGAAACCTAATTAATATTAGTTTTAACAAAATATAATAACATAAAAGTAATAGTTTTAATTAATTATATCAAAAGTTAGTATTATTCTAAAATATTATTGACAACATTTAAACTCCAATCATGATTAGAGAACAATTTTATCCTTAGATTCTTCTTAATTTTTACTAGAAAAAAGTATTATGTTTCTCCATTAAATAAATAAATAATTAGACATTTATTATATTTATATATTAAAAAAAGACTGTGTAGTTGCACAATTACTTTTAATTTAACTTTACTATAAGAAACACTACATATATAATGATATAAAAAAAATGTCACTATAAATACAACATATGTAAGTATAAATTTATTTGACATATAATTATACACAATTTTAATACTAATTTTTAATAAAATTAAATAACATATATTATATATCACCATAACATATATTTAAATATTTTAATAAAATAGAGGGTTATAGTATAATCTATTGTAATAGATTAATTGTATGACACGATATACGTCTTACCAATGAATTATTATGTTTATTGAATAAAAATTTAATTAAAAATAACAAGTTACACGATGCAATATGATCTATTTGACCAAATTGAACGAGTCTCTCTCAATTTTGACTAAGTTTTGAAACAAAAAAAATAGAACTACTAAAATTGATACTGAGTTTTAGACAGATTCTTATCTTTAGACTGTTTTCTTTATCTACAAGCACAGAATAAAAATGCAAGTACGAGACACCACACTGTCACCTGATGATTAGTCACAACAAGTGCAGTCTTCCTTAGTCCTTCCTTATGTAACATGTTAACATGAATGTGCACGTCTAAAGCCTTTTCAGCTTTGTACCTTTTTTTTTTTTTTTTTTTTTTTTTTTTTTTTTTTTAAGAATATTGTACCTTTTCATAGTTAAGGTGAGCTCCATTTGAGGAGAGAAAAAAGTAAAAGAAAAATAAAAACCTTCATGGAATAAATTAAGTAACCAAGAAAATGCGCTGCTTTTATGTTAACCATCTTCTATAAAAATTAATTACTGTTATTCATGATAATTATTTTGTACTTATATTATTATTAAAAAAACAGAGAAATATGTAATGTGAGATCTCGTTTAAAAAATGTTACCAAGAACACATTTGTTAATATTTTTTAAAACAATTTTATAATTAGTTAAAATTTATTATAAGACTATAAATATTAATAAATTGTATTTTATATTTAATGAAATTTATTCATAATTTTATACATTTCAAAAATTAATTAATAATTATATATATAGATATATTATACCTGCATAAGGATACATTAGTAATTTCGTTGCTTTGATCCTCCCTTTAAGCCCTTGTATAGGTGTTTCTTAACTATTTTTGACGTAATAAACCTGATAGCTTTCGATTATACTTGTTTGAGGGGATAAAAAGGGATACCTACAAAAGATACTCTGACGCTTAAGTCAGTCTTTGGCTCTAGACAACTCAATGACGCTCCACCGCATTCATCACCCCCTATTGAGGAAGTCCATGCAGAAGTTGTGAATGATGAAAATTCTTAAGATGACTTAACAGTTCCTTAGTAATTTCCTTATGTTTGTTAAGGTCGATAATGCCTCTGTTTTGTTCTTTTTGGGGTTGATAGCCCCCTTTGTCAAACTTGTAACTATTTTCTTAATGAATATTTCAATCTCTTTTGTTTGTTGAATCATGATTTATGATATAACTAGGTATCATTGTCCTGTTATTACTTCTGTGCTGAAGGATGAACAAGCTAATTCCTTACATTTTGTTGTTACTTATTTATAGACTTGTTCAATGACTTTTTTGCATGCATAATTTTTATTTTGTTGATAAAACTGAATGTTTTCATTCTTCAAGAACTTGGTCTTGATTTTTTTACTGAGGATGATTTTAGCCTGAACTGAGATCTCGTGACATTAATTGTAGATAAAATTTGTTGTCATGAAACTTCTATCAGAGGACAATGCAATAGTTGTTTTGAATATAACTAAAGTTGCTTCTCTCCGTTAACTTTTCGAAAACCTCTTTTTCATATAAACTTTTTGTTCTGAACTTCTTGATCTATAGGGTAATGAGGGACTTTTAGAACATTGAGAGGAATTCTAGACCATATATAAAATACTTTACATAGGACTCAATTATTGTTAATGAAAAGAAATATGCAATTTATGTTCTTATACACACATGCAAGACATGAGCAACACATTCAAAGATATGCTTTCGATAGATATGCCGTTTTCTCTTTTCTTAGTCTTGAAAGGTGATTTCCCTTTTTCTTTCTTATAGAATTTTGGAACAAGAAAAAGATTGTGTTCTTTCTGGTTTTATTGTTTTTTTTTTTTAAGAGGTAAGAGTATTCCAACTGTGTTATTTGATATTTCATCATTGTAAGAGTATGTTTGGATTCATGTTTAGAAAAACTTTTGAAAACTTCTCAGCTAATAATAAAGAGCTTGTCTCAATAGATAAGTATTGGAAAATTCTTCTAAGGTTGTATTTAAATAGGCTAAATTTGTATCGAAATAGACTCTAATCAAAAGTTAAAAGACAACATTCTGTTATTCCGTTACCTTCTCTTTTAGTTGTCGACTTACACTTTCAAATTATGGCATGCATGATTTCAGGATCCAATAATTCAACCTTTGGTTGAGCAAGATTCTAAAACTCTCCAACAGTTGCTTACAGAGATACCCTCTTGGATTAAAAATCCAGACTTTGACCGTGTATGTTATTCTTTTATAGGCCCTTTGTACAAGTGTTTATCTTGGGATCCAGAAATGTATTGTAGGTTCTACAGAGAACTAATACTATTTTCTTGTTTACAGCTTGATTGGCTTAATAAATTTATTGAGCATATGTGGCCTTATCTGGACAAGGTATGTTCACTTTTTATTGATGTTCATAAATGCTCCTATGGCATCTATGAGACTGTCTAAGTAGTATCTACAATTCAATCTTTATAGGCAATTTGCAAGACTGCAAGGAGTATAGCAAAGCCCATTATTGCTGAGCAAATTCCGAAGTACAAAATTGATTCAGTTGAATTTGAAGAACTTAACTTGGGTTCTCTGCCACCAACTTTTCAAGGTTGATCTCTCTCTCTCTTCCACACTCACATGAGCATTAAGTATGTGAAGCTGCTATTGTGTAAGACTCATTTTTTTTATCATGACCCCATTGCTTAAACAAGTATATTTTTAATAGTTGTCTAGCCAATGTTGGTTATGTGTTGGGTTTTCTTTCTGGTTTTATTGTTTTTTTTTTTTAAGAGGTAAGAGTATTCCAACTGTGTTATTTGATATTTCATCATTGTAAGAGTATGTTTGGATTCATGTTTAGAAAAACTATATATATATATATATATATATTATGCCTCATTTTAGTTACTTACCATCAAAACTTAGTGATGTGATTATTTCTCGAATATAAAACTTAGGTATTTTCGTAATCGAAAAGGGAAAACTTTGTTTTATGTTATAAAGACATTCCTTAGACTGAATGGAGGTCTTTGGGGCGAAGACTTCATTTTTATTTTATCAAGGTGTTTCTTTTGTCGAGGGCGTCCTCAAGAGGAAAAACTTGTCTTGTTTTATCAAGGTGTTTCCTTACTCGAGGGGCCCTCAGGAGGGAAACCTTGTCTCGTTTTATCAAGAGTGCTTCCTTAGTCTAGAGGGTCCTTAGAAGGAAAACCCTTATCAATTTCATCACAGATTTGTTGTCAAAACTTCTCATATTATTTCTTAATTATAGGCGTGTCTCATTAAAAATCTCCCTAGTAAAAATCATTTTCACATTTTTGTAGGGATAAAAAATCAAGTAAGGAAAAGAGTACACCATAATACAAGAATTTTAATTGTAATAGATTTTTAAATGTGTCAAGTTTCATGTCCTCAGGATTAATTTTCCATTCAACTTTACAAGCTTGTAGGCTCCATTCTTCATGTTTTGGTGAACCCTATATGGGCCTTCACAATTGGCTGATAATTTCCTTTCTTTTGGGTCTTTCGTTGCTTTGTATGTAGCCCTCCATAATAAATCTCCTTCATGAAATTATCTAGGCTTTACTCCTGAATTGTATCTTTTTTCCATTCTCCTTTTGCATGCTTCGATGTTTATTATCACTCTTTCTCTCATTTTCTCTACCATATCCATTTCTGCCCTTAATTCTTCATGTTTCTGATTTTCCTAGAATTGGGTTCTTTTGTATGAGGACTCTCTTACTTCTACTGGAATCATAAAATTGTTACCATATGTAAGCCAGAAAGGTGACTTCTTCATAATGGACTGAGGGGTACATCTATATGCCCATAATATCTCTGGCAATTGTTCAACCTAGGCCTCTTTAGCTGAATCGAGTCTCTTCCTTAATTCTGTGAGTATGACCGTGTTTGTCGATTTTGCCTACCCATTTGATTGTGGATGTTCAACCAAAATCATTCTGTGTTTGATTCCTAGACTTGTGAGGAACTCATTAAACTTCTTTTCTGTAAACTGAAGTCCATTATTAATTTATTACCAATATTTTATTAATACTCTTCTTCCTCAATATAATTTGGACTGATGAATTTCACTTTCCCTTTTCAATACCTGTTGTTGCCTTTGGCTACGGTTGCCATTAAAACTGATAATGACCAATGAGGAAATTTTGCATTTGATATTTTGATTGGGGATGACGAGCACGCCTTTATTAAAAAATAAAATAAAATAAATGAAAGACTTCCCTTTTTTAAAAAATAAAATAAAATGAAAATACTTGTAAAATAAACCTATAAATATTTAATTAATAATTTTTAATTTAATAAAGTACGTACTCTCATTTACATCCTTCTTTTTCCTATAAATTTTTTTAAAAAAATTTACTTTATCCCCAAACAACAAATAAATAGAAAGCCTCATAGGCTTCGCCAATCGGTTTTATACTGCATGGACAACATTGAATAATTTTGTTTTGTGACAGATAGAGTATATTGTTATAATAAAGTTATAAAGATGGTCTAAATGCTGTTTTTTTCAGTAACCCGTGGAGAATAAAATTCTGGTCGCTGATTTTTAGGTACAAAAGTAGTTTGGATCATCCATTGCAACTTTATGACATGGCTCAGTTTAAGATAAGTCTATTTATTAAATACATTAGATTATTTTTTTAAAATAAATAATTAACAATATATGTATCAAAATAAATAAATAACATATTGGTAATAAATTAATAATGATTATTATTATTTGTATTGAAATTTAATTGCAATATTTAAGGTTATATACGTATTAATGTATTTAAAGACTTCAATTCGTTAGTCTCTATATGAGCATAAACTAATTGGTATATTTAAAGGATGTCTATAACCTTATTTCAATAGATCTTGCTACAAAAGTAAGCTTTAAATAAGTTTTTGGATCATTATATAAAGAAACACATTGGCAAAAAAAAAATAATAATGTGTTTGGATCATATTAGACTTTTATTAAAAGGTTATATTAGGATTAAAAAAAACATATCTGTTTGCCTTTAATTTTTATTTTATTTTTTTACGTAAGACTTAAACCTTTAGTTTGAAAAGCAGGTCATAATTCATATTCTAGTTATGTAAAACTTAGTCCAACTTATTTCTATCTCTAATGATGAAGCAAAATCTATGAATTTAATTTAATAATATTATTATGGATTTTCATCAAGTAGCTCTAAGGTTTGACTTACTGGTAGAGGCGTAAAGCCTACATGAGGGTGACCTGTATCGTAATCAACCAGCTCTAATTTTTGATAATTTAATAATCTATATTTCTTGTTTAGAATATTTTAGAAATTACTTTGTACGAATTTAAATCAGTTTTTTTTATTAATAGAGTTTAGTTCAGTTGATTTTTTTTATAAAGTAAGTGTTATATCACTTTACATTTTGTTTTAATTATACCACTTCTCAATGTGAAATTTTTTACGCATGATTTTAACAAAAATCAATGATTAGTTATTTTTCTTATAGACCTATAGCTGATAATGATATGATAAGTTTTACTTTTTTGTGGGTACATCACGAGACGTTCAGACCCTATTATTTTTACATATTCCTCAATTCCAGGGACCATAGCTTTCAACTGGTACAAGTTTTTCTATTTTTCTATTCGAATAATTTTTTATTTGTTTCCTGAAATAGAATTCTGTTGTTAAAAATAAAATAGAAGTTAGTTATTTCTAGTAACTATGCATGCAATACAGTAAAGAAAATGATAACAGTTGAAGTTAATGACGAAACAGAAGCACAGAATCTGTATAATTCTACATCTTTTTAAGACATTTTCTTATAATAATTTATTTATTTATTTATCATATAAGAAAAGTTATAAAAAAATGTTTCTAAAATATTCAATACATATTTATTGTTTATTTGAAAGTTACTTTATGAAATCTGGTGTGACTGGTAGAAGATAACGTAAAACGTTACTCCTTCCTTTATCCGTTTCTAACATACCAAAAGCCAAAATAGAAAGCATGGTGGGACTGGGACCTGTCTTTATTGCACCACTTTAAGACAATATTTTATTTTCCTTTCTGTGATGAACATATTTCACTCTTAGTTACATCCACGTTGATATTATTTTCCAAAAATCTGAAAGAATAAACCTTACCGACACTCTCACGCGCTTACATGTTTCCTTGTTAACTGTTGGGTGGATCAAGTGGAAGTTGAAGAAGGTTTCTATTGGCCACTGGTTTTAATGCCCCTTTAATGCACTTGTATCATAACATTATTAAGATATTATTCACCTTCTTGTCTTTTTCACTCTCTTTGAAACTCAATTCACAACGATAGGTAGTAATAACTAATAACCATTATTTGTTCAGTTGGAAGCTTCCTTCTCTTCTTTCCACATTGTGCAAATGAATTTTCAGGGTACTTGGTAGTGGTGGACAAAGATTTTGAAGATGGGAATTTTGGGTACTATAGCAAGCTTTTTTGGATTTGGGGTGGGAACTTCAATTGGCTTAGTCATTGGCTACTATTTGTTCATATACTTCCAGCCAACAGATGTTAAGGTTGGTTTTTGTTTCTCTTATTTATTGTTTCTTTTAATTTTTGGATTGTGTGAACTCTGAATTATATCGTTTTCAATCTCTTTTGTTTGTTGAATCATGATTTATGATATAACTAGGTATCATTGTCCTGTTATTACTTCTGTGCTGAAGGATGAACAAGCTAATTCCTTACATTTTGTTGTTACTTATTTATAGACTTGTTCAATGACTTTTTTGCATGCATAATTTTTATTTTGTTGATAAAACTGAATGTTTTCATTCTTCAAGAACTTGGTCTTGATTTTTTTACTGAGGATGATTTTAGCCTGAACTGAGATCTCGTGACATTAATTGTAGATAAAATTTGTTGTCATGAAACTTCTATCAGAGGACAATGCAATAGTTGTTTTGAATATAACTAAAGTTGCTTCTCTCCGTTAACTTTTCGAAAACCTCTTTTTCATATAAACTTTTTGTTCTGAACTTCTTGATCTATAGGGTAATGAGGGACTTTTAGAACATTGAGAGGAATTCTAGACCATATATAAAATACTTTACATAGGACTCAATTATTGTTAATGAAAAGAAATATGCAATTTATGTTCTTATACACACATGCAAGACATGAGCAACACATTCAAAGATATGCTTTCGATAGATATGCCGTTTTCTCTTTTCTTAGTCTTGAAAGGTGATTTCCCTTTTTCTTTCTTATAGAATTTTGGAACAAGAAAAAGATTGTGTTCTTTCTGGTTTTATTGTTTTTTTTTTTTAAGAGGTAAGAGTATTCCAACTGTGTTATTTGATATTTCATCATTGTAAGAGTATGTTTGGATTCATGTTTAGAAAAACTTTTGAAAACTTCTCAGCTAATAATAAAGAGCTTGTCTCAATAGATAAGTATTGGAAAATTCTTCTAAGGTTGTATTTAAATAGGCTAAATTTGTATCGAAATAGACTCTAATCAAAAGTTAAAAGACAACATTCTGTTATTCCGTTACCTTCTCTTTTAGTTGTCGACTTACACTTTCAAATTATGGCATGCATGATTTCAGGATCCAATAATTCAACCTTTGGTTGAGCAAGATTCTAAAACTCTCCAACAGTTGCTTACAGAGATACCCTCTTGGATTAAAAATCCAGACTTTGACCGTGTATGTTATTCTTTTATAGGCCCTTTGTACAAGTGTTTA